CCTTTTATCTTTAAAATAAAAAAAAAAGAAATCTTAACTATCTTGTGTAAGTCTATCTATCTATCTATCTATCTATCTATCTATCTATCTATCTATCTAATCTATCTATCTATCTATCTATCTATCTATCTATCTATCTATCTATCATCTGTCTATCTGTCATCTATCTATGTCTGAGTCCTATATCGATCCATTCTCTCCTTTCTCTCTTACACGCATTTCACTGTTTTGATTTTTAAAAAGCATAATATGACATAAATATTTCCTAAAAATTAAGCATCTCACGTAATCTCATGTTTTATTAATACATGGTATTCCATATTAAGATGAAAAATTGTTTATAAACAACATCTGACAGTTTAAGAATCTTGTTATTTTAATTTTTACTGCTATAGCGTGAATACTCTTAGAAGTCATTGTGCACATTCATAACCATTTTCCTTTCCTTTTCTTCTCAGTTTTTCTGTTTTTTTGTGCTATATATCAAACTAAGGCATTTTGACATGCCATGCAAGCACTCTGCCACTGAGCAACAACCCCAGCCTTTTCATAATGGTTGTTTTTCTTAGGATAAATTCTTGGTAATGGAAATTCTGAAACAGAATTTGCTGCTAGGAATACCAAAATGTTTTTCCAATATTTTAATTGTATCATAGGCACATACCACACACTTCCCATACTATCCCTTACTCTGGGTTTTGGCTCTAAGGTTTTCTTGAGAGAACTGGGCCCAGAGGAGGCTGGGCCCAAGAGGGAAAGAGGGGAGGTACCAAGTTCACAGAGTGGTGGTATCTCTGGGTAAATGGCCATGGCAGAGGAGCAAGTAAGGGCAGCCTTAAAGAATAAATGTGTTGCTGACCTCTTCCCTGATAACATCAACTTTCCTCTCTACTCCCCTGTCAGGTGTTATCGCCCTTGGCCAAGAACCTCTTCCACAGGGCCATTTCTCAGAGTGGTGTGGTCTTCACTGCTGGCCTGTTCAGCAAGGACGTCAAGCCTGTGGCTGAGGTAGGTTTCTACCTGGTCAGCTATGGTATGTTCTTCTGGTCTCCTGGAATTCACAGGTCTGTGTATCCAGAGTTGCTGTGGAATTCAGTGGAGATGCTTAAATGATCACTGAAGTGAGACTGGCTGAACAGGAATGGCTCTTTCAGAGCCAACAGTTAAACCATATTCTGTATTTTATATTTTCCAGTGAATCATCTTATCTAGGCCTCCTGCAACTCTGCATAAGCTTTTTTGTGTTGGAGACATGTTACACCCTTTAGCATTTCACCTGGATTAACTCTTTATAAGAGAAGTGTAATGATTACCACCACATATGAATGGGGCAAGAAAAGCCTGAAGAGGTTGAGGGGCTTGCTAGAGGCTGCATAGCTAGGAAGGAAAGGAGTTGGGATTTGAAAAAAGACAGTGAAATCCTGGATGCCAGCTCTATGTCTCCAGGCAAAATCCCTCTTGAGTCTTTCAACTTTGAGAATATTGTCTATCTATGTATCTATGTATCTATCTGTGTATGTATGTATGTATGTATCTATCTATCATCTATCATCTATGTATCATGATTCTAGAGATAAACTTTGTAGCAAATTTTAACACAGATAAACTAACAGAGACACATATATTGTGTTACTGGGTCATGCGAAAATTCCAGTTAATAAAGAAGCAACACTCTGAGGAACCCGGAACACACATCTTCCATTTTAGGCTCCTCCTCCTGCATTTAGAAAGTGGGTTTAGGATTACACCCCTCTGTGTACATTGCTAGAGGGAAGAGACACTGCTCTGGAACTCCACCTTTACTTGTCATCACTCCAGAAAATCGCTGCTACTGCTGGGTGCAAAACTACTACATCAGCCGTCATGGTCCACTGCCTGAGTCAGAAGACAGAGGATGAGCTGTTGGAAGTGACAAAGAAAATGGTAGGTGGCTCCATTCTAGTGGCCCCATGCTGTGTAGTTGGCTTTAGACTTCATCTGCTCAGCTGCCCACTTGCAGAGGTTAAACCACTTGGGATAGTTTCTTATCTTTCAGCATCACTCTTAGCGTACTCATCCAAACTGGGAATTTCATTTTTGCTTTTTTATTATGAAATAGTACAAATGTCAAAAATACCTAATAATAACATGAACAGGGGCTGGGGATTTAGCTCAGCGGCAAAGCGCCTGCCTGGCAAGCGCAAGGTCGTGAGTTCGGTTCCTGGTACCGGAGAAAAACAAAAAACAAAACAAAACAAAACAAAAAAATAACATGAACAACTACATAACAATCCTCATCCTCCAGCTCTTTCAACTGTAATATTTTGACATTCTTGTTTTCAGATATATTTTAAGAAAGTGAATAGTTTATTTTTTTGCAAGCAACTAACCAGGTAGCAACCATATTTCTGCAATCAACTAGCCTGTTTGTATTGGCTGATTTAAAAGAGCTATAAAAATTATAACACAGCAGTAGCCCAGTTTTCTAGGTTTATTGATAACTCTGACTCAGTTAGGATAGCTTGTAGCTATCCATCATTCATCTGTTGTTCCCCATCCTTCTTTTCATCTATCCATCCTTCACATGCAATTCATTAACAATTTTATCAGTCTAGCACTTATCAATCCATAACTTTCCATGTATCAATTTTCAATCTGTTTTTCATCCATCAGTTATTAACAAGATATCTAAACTATTTCACTGAGTACTCCTATTCTTTTTTTTTTTTTTTTTTTTTTTTTTTTTTTTTTTGTGGTGCTGGGGATTGAACCCAGGGCTTTGTGCATACAAGGGAAGACCTCTACCACTCAGCCACATCCCCAACATCACTGAGTACTCCAAAAGTAATGACACATCAGTCACCCCTCTGCTATTTTTCTTTTGTTTATCCATGTATCAATCCGATTACACCTGTATTGACCAAGCCACTCATCCATCTCTCCACGCTTAGTGTCTAGAAAGTGCTTTCAGTGGAGGTAATTATACATAAATTGACCATATTGTGTTTTCATAAAGAGGTATCCAAGGAGAAATAAAACCACATAATTAGTGGGTTAAGTGTAGTGGGAGTGCAGAGAGGGAATGTATTCAAAATAGCCAGTAGTGACACTTCTCAAGGAAGGTGACATTTACACATTGGTGGAAGGTCATAGCCATCTGTCACCACAGAGAAACTCAGCAGAACAAATATCCAGAAAGAGTAGAGTGCAGGGCCAATGGAAACCACTCCCTTTGTGAGGGAGTTTCAGTTGTGGTCTCATGAGTTACCTGAGCTTCTCAGTTCTCTATCTGGATCTCAACCCTGGAAGAAACTTCTGTGACTTCAGGACAAGCCTCTAGTGCTGTGTTTTGCCAGTGTGTCCATGGTTTGACTCTAATGTGGCCCTAGAGTTGGAGTTCTCATTCATTAGGTCAAATACATTGTCCAAGATAGTCAAAGAATTAAGTCAGTGCTATTTTCTAACATCTGAAAAGAGGAAAATATTTCAATCATTCTCCATGTGGCACAAAAGAACACAGTTTATGCAGGAATGGCTGGTGACTTTGGGAAAAGCCGTGGAACTTCTGATCCCAGGAAATCTTTCTGAGTTGTTGTGGAAATGCTTGCATGATTACCATTGCTTTCAGTACACACACACCACACACATGCACACACACACACACACACACACACACACACACTTTGCTTGTGAGCGTTACCTACATAATGGAGGCATCACTAGTGTTCACTGTTCATGTATGTAGGTCAGACCTTAGCAGGTGGAAAGGTAGAAAATTCCATTTTTGTGAATCTTTGTAGTCTTGTTGAACACACAATAAAGAAAAGCATGAGTTGAAATGGGCATTGGTGAGTTTGTGTGAGTCAGGCATTTCTAATGCGAAATGAGAAAACTCCTTTTAAAATCACTGGAAGGAAAAAAGGTTGTGATGTTACAGAATCCTCAGGTAACCAACCATTTCAGAAACAGAAGGCTCAGAACCTTATGGCTGGATCCAAGTGTTTCCCCCCCACCTCTGGTACCAGGAATCAAACTCATGACCTTGCTCTTGCCAGGCAGGCACTGTGCCGCTGAGCTAAATCCCCAGCCTCCAAGTGTTCTAAAGATATTGAGAATCTACTTGATTTTATCACTCAGCTTCTACCCTTGTTGGTTGGCTGCTCTGAATCACATTTATCACCTGGGAAGCTTAAAAGACAACAACCCTCTGAACTTCTACCTGTTTAGAAATCACCTATCATAAAATTACAGCATTAGATTTCATGTACACTCGATTGGACTGACACTGGCACGTATCTATCATTACATTAATGCCTAAATTTAGGGGTATGAAGGCTCCAGGTCACATATACATACCCAAAGTTATGAAATGGGAGAGAAAAGGGAAACGGGGATGAAGAATAATGAGAATTCCATTTTCTGTCACTCTATTTTGCCTCTCACCTGACCAGTCAACCAATGGTCAACCATTGTAGCTAACACATTTCCCCAACTGCAGTCAACTCCCTTCCACTTTTCCTCAGAAGAAAATTGAGGCTATGTTACCGGGAGGAAGAAACAAGGGAAAGGATGAGGAGTGCAGGTATCAACAGCAAATGTCTTCTGAGGAGTTCCAGCAATCCTGACTTGGGGTTATCTGCCCTAACCTCTCTTGCTAGTACCTGCCCCTCCTTGTCTTACTCTGCCAGCTGGTGCTCACGCCCAGCAGATTCTATATACTGCCCTTCTCTGGAACCAGCCAAAGAGGAAGCAGGGGGAAAACCATGATATCTCTGGGACACAGTGCAAATGAATGACCCTGGAAAGTCTTCTCACAGTGTCTTCTGGCTTTGTCTTCACAGAAACTACTTGGTGTGGATTTAGCTGGTGACCCCAGAGAGGTAAAGATCTTTGTTTTCTTGATTCTGTGTTTTGACTCTTTACACCTTTAGACTCCAATTCAGTGTTAAAGAAAACATTCTCTTTTGTGTAATTATAAAACCTCCTTGTGTGCATGCTAAGTGCAAAGAGGGTCAATGACTTGCCAGGGTAATACCGACACAGGAGACTGCATGGCACCCCAAACAAGGCCACTCTGACAAGGAATGGGAGAAAGAGTGGTTTTATTGCCAGCGTCCCTCAGTAACTGGTGTCTACCGAGAATGGAGAACAAAGCCTTGTTTCTACTTTTATATTGTTTCTATCCTATGGGGCAATTTTTCACTGGAAATCTGCACAAAGGAAAGCTACAGAAGCAAAATCAATGATTAAAAGAAAATAAACAGTGATCAAGGAACTTCAGAAAGGCCTTTCCAAGTCTGCTATGCTATATGTTTGCCTCACAGCTGAACCCGTACATGACAAGGGTCAAAACCATCAGTCTCTTCAGGAAGCTCAGATACATCAATTCCCCAAAGCAGCTTAGCTGTACAGTAAATCTATAGTTGTCCAGCTTCACCCCAGGAGGTGGTCTCCTTTCTCAATACAACCAGGAGCATCAGGACAGGATCGGAATGCATTACCTGATTCCCAGTGCAATGCTCCCCATCAGCAAATCTGTACACTTTGGATTCAGCTACCCTTTTCTCATTCACATTTCCTTGTTTGAAAAGGCCCTGTGGAAGGAGAGTTTTTCAGAAACTTCTACTACCAGAATGCAGAGAAGCCTGGATAAGAGGCTTCAGAGCCTTTTTTTTTCCCCCCCCTCCGGTACCAGGAACCGAACTCACGACCTTGTGCTTGCCAGGCAGGCTTTGCTGCTGAGCTAAATCCCCAGCCCTGAGAGCCTTTTTTTTTTTGGAGGATAGGTCTCTTGGGAGGACACAGGTAGCCTAGGATCCTGGCACCAGGAAACCTCAAGAATCTATCTCTTTCTTTTTCCTCCTCACTCCCCATGGGGTTGTCAGGGTCTGGTGCCACTAGCTGTGTAGGATCTTAGAATCCTGTCCTTCTGCAACCTCCCTGTAGGTCATAAAACTCCTCTTAAATGTCTTGTGAGGATGAAATAAGATCTATTCAGCCATGCAGCACATATTTATGAAGGTATTTTATGTGTCAGGACCTGAATGAGTAGTTGGGCTATAGACAGTGACAGACAGGGGTGGAGTATGTTTGAGAGGGCACTGGAAGAACTTGGGCTGTCATTCAGAAGGAGGTGGGCAGGTGGATAAACCAGAGGGGTCTGGCTGGACCAGTGATGCATTTCAGGTTTTGCAATGAACTTTTACTGGGAGTGAATTAGGGAGCTGGGAAGAGGCAGAACAAATGCAGAGACTACCTGAGAAGCCACTGCTTCTCAACAGCCCAGCCAAAGTGTCCTGCCTGATTATACCAGGGCTGGAGTGGTGAGGTGGAGACATGTGTGTGGAGTCTGGCTGTATTTGAAGGAAGAGCTGACAGGATTTGCTGATGAACAGAGTGTGGGTGTAAGGAAAAGACAGGAGGATGGGTCTGAATTTTCTGACCTAAGCAAGACCATGCAGATGGTCTCCCAAGGCAGGTACCAGTGTCAACTGGGTAGACAGTGGCCATCACTGTTGTTTTCATGGTTGGTGATGTCAGTGTTCTCCTATGGAAGAACCCCCAAAGCCCTCACTGCCTCCTGCACTTTTTCTATTTTTCTGCCCCTTCTTTTCTTCCTCCACAGTGTTACCAGACTTGCCTTTGTAACCCTCAGCTAGAATATACTCTCCCTTCTTAAAGTCTGACCTTGCTGATATGACAAATTGCCTTTCCTCCATTGAGATAATCTTAACATACCCCAGGGTCAAGGATGTGAGAAGACCATAACACTTGTCCCTGCCCCAAGGCATTCCTCCAAGCCCAGTCCTCCCCCACAGTCCTGGGATTAGAGCCCTGCCCAATGATACTTCTGTGCCTGTGCTCAGGCTGTTTTCACTTTCAGGACATTCTTGTCTCTTCTTAGCCATAGCCTTTATCCCACTGTACTTGGCAACCACCTGCTCCCAGGGGCCTGTTATGTATCTTCCCTCAGATAAGCTGTTCATCTTGCTGGTTCCCAGAGCAACCCTCTCTACACTGCACACTCTTTCTACAGTAACAATAGTTGGATTCAGCCTGTCTGTATTATTAGTGATTACAGTAGGGTATGGCCTTTGTCTTGATCTTCTTTTGCTCCTAAGTGGGGAATGAAGTGTCATTTAAGCACCTTGAGTGGTAGTTTAATATCCTCAGCTTTAGAGATAAGTAGGTACACTCAACCGTAACTTAGCAATGTGGGATTCTGTACTTGTGAATTCGCTTACTTGCTGAAGTTTATTTTAACCCCAAGGTTAGTACTTGTGAAACTCCTGTGGTCCTCTACAATGAACTTATTGACAGAGCACTGAGTAACTTGAGTCACATCATGTCCATGTACCCATGTGAGTTCAAAGGAGAAGATCTGTTTTATTGCTCCATCTCTCATACTAAAATGTATCTTTTTGGGCATCTATGAGTGCTCCATTTTTTGCGACATTTACTTATGTTAGTGATTTCTTAAGAGAGTTCTCAGGCATAGTATTGAAGTGCTGTCTACTGTTCCTAAGCACAAGAGGGTATGATTTGCCTCATGGAGAAAGCACATGAGATAGATAAACTACACTCAGGCTTGACTTATGATTCCTTGCTGTGCATTTAGTGGTGAGTCAACATATCCAAGATTTGCTTATCTCTGTGTAAGCCCATTCTGGAAAGTGGTAATATAATATCTGTCTTACTGGTAATGGCAGTATGTGATGCAGCTATGAAAAAGATGAACATACCCCTCAATTTGTGGATTCATGGGATGATGAATTTAAAACAAGTGTGTAAGCTGGCATTGTTGTGAAGCAGAAGCTAAAGAAATTTATAATTATCCAGGGCCATGAAAATCTTCAGCCCTTCCCAGGTGGTGTTTCATTATAAGTAAATTGTATATGGAAGTCTTTTTAAGAAGTTTGCATTATATAATAAGTGTTTAAGTGGTAACCTACCCATATAAAACAAGAGCGATGATAATGTGGCAGAGGCTCCCAGGACCCTAACACTGGAATTTTTGGAGCAGTTACCCAGTACTCACTAGTTCAGAATTCATTGTGATTTCACATATATAACTATTAGAAATAACTAGAGTCAACTTTTTGTATATTGTAATGATATATATTTAAATTTGGGTGATGATTCCCTTTCTCCTTTCCCACCAGTATCACCTCACCACCCCTGGCATGACCATTAGCTCTCAGATTTCTTGGTGTCTTGAAGACACAGCCTTGTCTCTAGGACCATGAGTTTCTATGGCCACTGCCCAGTGGTGTGATCTATGATACCTGCCATACCCTCATACATGGCCAGAGAGACAGATGGGAGAAACAGAGAGAGAGAGAGAGAGAGAGAGAGAGAGAGGGAGAGAGATAGAGTTCAACAGAGTAATCACAGACATTCTGTTGTTATCATCAATAAGGCCATCCCTTCATTCCCGGTGTGATGGATGGAGTGCTGCTGCCCAAGACACCTGAGGAGATTCTTTCAGAAAAGAATTTTAATACTGTCCCCTATATGGTAGGAATCAACAAGCAAGAGTTCGGCTGGATCATTCCAATGGTGAGTATGTACTAGCCTCTTAGACAGATGCAACCTCTCTATACATTCAACCATCATCCACCTAACTTTTTGTCCCAGGAGACTGTCCTTCTCCAAGACTCTTTTATTTGTCCACATTGGCACCAGTGGAACTTTTTTTTCAGAACTTCTCTGGGATGGCACGTATGTCACCTGGATGGTACAGCCTTAAGATCCTCTTCCTAAAATAATTTTTATTACCTTTCCATTAAATAATAATGAAATGTCCAGCCTTAGAGGTTCTACGGAGGTAATAATTGTGCATTTGTATAAACTGAGGAAACCTAGATAGGTTAAGAGGCTAAATACTCCTGGAGAGATAGGATCAGACTCAACAGCTTCCACTTTGGGCTGGACTCATGACTCCTTTAGATCTCCACTTGTGTTTTTAGGCACCTTGCAGGAAATATTCTGCTTCAGAAGAGTTTTCTTCTTTTTTAGTATCAAAGATAAGCAAAGCTATGCACTAGTTAAAGCAGGGGGACAGGTTTTATTTAGTAATTTGATCGCAATGGGAAAAAGATCAAGCATGACCTGAACTTGGAATTTTGAACACCAAAGACTGAAGACGTGCAAGGTCAAGGAGGCTCTTTGGGTGTGAGAAGTGGATCCATATGTCTAGATCACTGGATTTGCTCACCATTGTTCACCTGTAGGAGAAAGATTTATTTTCATGAAAGGAAGCAGAAGTGTAGGTTGAAATGAGGCCCCCATTGAAATGTCAGGAATATCAAGAATCATTTCCTCATATGCTTATATTTAAAATATATCTCAAAGCATTTCCACAGATTTAGCTCTTGGACCTTGGAGAAACTGTTTTGAGGGAAAGATTTAAACTTCAAAGGGCAGAGAAGTATTGATAATTGTAAGTTTTCTAAGGTAATTACTTTAAGGGAGGATTTGATTTTTTTTCATTTTTTGTTTTTTATTTCTGGTCTTTTTGAGACAGGGTCTCGCTATGGAGTTCAGACTGGCTTTGAGCTCTCTTTGTAGCCCAGGCCGGTCTCAGACTCACAACAATCCTGCTGCCTCAGCCTCGTGAGTGCTGGAATTACAGGTGCGCACCACCACACCTGGCTAAGGGAGGATTCATAATCTCTGCATATGATCAACATTTTCCTTTCTCAAGCAGGCATTTTAGGGGTCTGGGACATGACTAGGACATGACTTTAAGCACCAAGAAAACAGGAAGGACTTGGTCAAGTGACTGTGGAGGTTTGGACAATGTTCTCACATTTTGAGAATTCTGCACTTTTCATTTTACAAGCATTTCAGTGGTTGAGCCAAAGGACCAAAGTCATAAAGGTGATTTTGTTCTCATCAGTCATCTGAGTCTGTGGGATATGGTCAGTAATGCCATGTTCATGAGCCCTCTGCTTCTAGAATACCTTGGTTTAAACATTTCTAAGTGATCCCTTGCTGTCTAGGTGAACATTTACTCCATAACTGTATATATCTATATCTATCTATATCTATCTATCTATGTATCTATGTATCTATTGTCTATCTATCTATCTATCTATCTATCTATCTATCTATTTATCTATCTATCTATCATCTATCTATAATCTATCTATCTATCATCTATCTGTTATCTATCTATCTATTTATCTATCTATTTATCTACCTATCTAATCTATCTGTATCTTCTCTGTTTCCTGTCCATGTATCTCTCTGTCTATATCTATCTCTTTCTCTATCTACTATATATCTATCATCTATCTATCTATCTATCTATCTATCTATCTATTGGCTATCTATCTCTCCTTTTGAGTTTCTAGATATGTCCATTTGTTTGTTTCACTGATGTTTTGGAAGTCATGAAACCCAAGCTAATCAGGTCCCAACACAGATCCTTCTTTCCACATTTATTTGGTTTGTTTCCTGTTAATTCATGATTGCTCATAAATGCTTAATCCTTCTATTAACAGTTGATGGGAAATCCAGTTCCTGAAGGCAAGCTGGACCAGAAGATGGCTACATCAGTCTTGTGGAAGTTCCATCGCTATGTTGTAAGCATGTAGGAAATAATGGGAATTAATGCAAAAACAAAGAAGAGCTGGGAGCTTGCCCAAAATTACAGCCCGACTCAATGGCAGACAAAGGCATCTGTGGTTTGGCCCATTTTTCTGCCTTTCCCACTTCACTATCTAGGGAGAATTTGCACAGGGCTCAAGAATTTCATCATCAATAAGGCCTTGTTGACTGGCTGAAGAATCCACATTACTCACCAGGTGGGCGTTGTCCTTTTCTTCATGCATTTCAGGATATTCCAGAGAAACTGATACCAGCGGCCATTGAGAAGTATTTAGGAAGAACAGATGACCCTGTCAGAAAGAGAGAGCTGTTCCTGGACTTATTGGCAGATTTGATGTTTGGCATCCCATCTGTGATTGTGGCCCGTGGCCACAGAGGTGAGTCCTAGAAGACAGATTCTGACACACCAGCTTTTCTCTCTGACCTGCCCACCTCTCATCTAGACAGATATAGAAAGTGTTGAGGGTCAGAACACAAAGACTGATTGCACACCTCCTGGGGAAGTGCTCTGCCCTATTTTGCTTCTACCAGGACCTGACTTGAGGAAAGGATTCAAATACAAGTTGGTAATTTGACCAGTCATCACAGAAAAGAGTAGTAGGGAGAGATAAGGAAATGACAGGGGCAACCAATGGAAGCCAAAATTATGCAGAGCTTACAATGTGTCTGTTGTGCAAAACTAGAGCTACAGAGCTATGGGAATGACAAGGAAGATGTGAATATCAGGGTTGTCCTGTCTGAGCAGCAAGGAGCTGGGCATTTATCCATCAATACCCACATGTCATTTGTTGAGGACTATTCCAAAGAGTTACTAATTTTATGATATTTTGATTTCTGATGTACACAGGCCAAGTGGTTTATAATGGCCAGAGAAAAGCCTGAGATAAAATTACAAGTGCTGGAATTAGGGGTTATGAATGAGGCAGTAGTAGCAATTGCCATAGCAGCTCCTACCTTGAGGTGGTGGTGATACGTGGAACTAGAATGCAAATACTGGATAATGGGTCTTGAAATACTTTCAAAGTAAGAGGTAGATTTCAGCTAGGTTAACTAGTGTATCTGGGGGAAGAGTAGGAGTCAAGTATGGGATCAGACATGTTGTTCAGGAGCAAGAATGGCAAATGCAGAGGGCAGCAGATGGTGCAGGATGGGGGCAGGTGTGGTCATTTTCAATGTCTGCTAGGGCTTTTTCCTGTCTTGGTGAGGGCCAAGATGGGTCTATCACAGGGTCTTCTGACACTGACCCAGTGCTGGGTGGATGGAGTGTGAGTTTAGGGATAGGCGAGCTGGCCTAGATGGAGGTTTCCGCCTTCTGGGTTCCATTTTGGAGCCTCAGAGAACCCTTTTATGCTACCAGGTCTCATTCAGCAAGTTGCAAGCCAGTAAAGAGCTCTTTATTCCAGACTCCTCTCCTGAACATTCTGGAAGAGTTTTTAAATTCATGACTTGATAAATGTTATAAAAACTAACCTTCATATTTCTCTTTCACTGTTTCATTTTGTGCAAATGCAATTATTTGTAAGCAATTTCAGAACATTGAGTGAATACAGTATGACAAGATATTTTGAAAGAAAGAATGAGAATGACTGATGTAATTTCTAAAAATTATAAATTGACAAATTACATTTTGTAAATTTATGCTGTACTTATTGTTAATATGATTTACAAACACAAACAATAATAATTATTATATTATGATTTATGAATACAAATTAGAATAGTTACCACAAGCTAACAAACACATACAACTCCTTAATAATTGAATATTTGCTATAGTGAGAACACTTAAAGTTTATTTTCCTAGAAATTTAATTACACAATATTCTATCATTTACTACATACACCACACTATGGAATAGAATTAAAGAAGAAGAAAAATAAAACAAAATTTTTAATCAAGATTCAGTACACTTTTGTCATCATCTCTTCCTTCCTTTAATACCAACCTATATCACTACCATCTTTCTGTCTGGTTTTATGAGTTTTAGATTCTACATGCAAATGATAACATGATATTTGTCTTTTCTATGCATGACATCTCACTTACAATGTTCTGCAGCTTCATACATGTTGTCACAAACACAGAATTTTTCTTTGAAGGTGAAATAGTGTTGTGTATAATACCAGTTTGTCATTATCCACTCTTCTGCTGATAGACATGGGCTGATTTCATAACCTAACCTCTGTGTATTCACAGCAGTGAACATGATGTGCAGACTTTGCTTCAACAAACTCATTTCAAATAGCACTTTGAGCAGATACCCAGTTAGGATCACTGGATATCCAGTTAGGATCACTGGATCATACGGTAATTCTAGATTTAGTTTTTTGAGGGCCATCACACAGCAGTGTCAAAATGTCCCCTTTCTTCACAAGCTTGCCAACATTTCCTATTTTTCCCATTTTATTTTTTGATGAGTACTTTTCTTATTGAAGTAAGATAATATCTCATTTTGATTTTAAGTTCCATTTTTCTAATTACTAATGACAGTGAGCATTTTAAAACTACATTTATATTCATTAATATGTCATCATTTTAATGTAAAGTGTATTTATTTAAAAAAATATAAACTAAACTACAAGCCATTGTTTATGGCTTTCCTTTTTTTTTTTTTGGTTTTTCTCCGGTACCAGGAACCGAACTCACAACCTTGCGCTTGCCAGGCAGGCGCTTTGCCGCTGAGCTAAATCCCCAGCCCTCCCTATTCTTTTTTTTTACCAAAGTGGGACCTTTCCTTATTCTCTTTTACCAAAGTGGGACCTCCCTTTTCTTGCAGCTCTAGTAGGACACACAGAAGATGCCTTCCAAGAGAGGCAGAGTAAGGTGTTGGTGAGAACATTTGCCCCATTAACGCACCCCTGGAGAATAGTAGCTCATGAGTATCTGGTCTTGACCTGCGGTTAGGGTGGAGGACCTGTTTTGGGAGGGTAATAGGCAGGGCAGAGCTCAGGGCATGGTCTACAGTGGACTCACCTCTCCATTCCCATGTTCTGGATCAAGAGGACAGCTTGATCAACCAGGGAGCCTAAGAAGTTTTGGAGGAATGAATGGGCTGACAGTGATAAAGAGCATTTCCACGATCTCTGTAGTTGGGGTCAAGACTGCCATTACTGTTAGCTGAAAGGGTGAGTGATACAGGACTTTAACAGTTCTCCAGTCCTGCTGCTTGAGGGTCAGTTGGGGTTTAGTCTGGTTGAGTTTGGAGCTACTTCAGGGGTGTCTAGGACTGGCCTATCTTAGATTCTGTAACCACCAGAGAAAGTACCAGGGACTCCTCCTTTTTCACCTCACTCATGTATGTCATCTTTTGAGAAACGCAGTCCTTTGCTTATTTTTTAAATTGAGTTCTTTGTTTTGCAGTGGAGATGTGTGAGCTTCTTATATACGTTTTGCTAAATAAACTCTTGTCATATGTATGGCTTGCAGATTTTTTTTTCTGTCTGTAGGTTTTCTATGCATATTGTTAATTATTTTTATTCCTGAGAAGTAGCTTTTCAGTTTGAGGCAAAATTTGTCTGTTTCCCATTTGTCTGTTTTGTACATGTGTTGCTGCTTATGCTTTTATTTTTATTTTTTTGGTACCTGGAATTGAACTTAGGACCTCACACTTGCCAGGCAGGCGCTGTGCCACTGAGTTGTATCACGGGTCCCTGCTTATGCTTTGGAGTTAAATCAAAAAGTCATTTTCTCTAACCATTGTCAAAGTATTTTCTATATTTTTAAGTAACTTTTGAGTTTCTGATAGTATATTTTAATTTTTGATTCTTTGGTAGTTGATTTTTATATTATGACAAATAATAGTTTAGTTCTATCTTTATGCCTGTAGAAATCTAGAACCCTTTACTAAGGAGACTCAGTTTTTCCCATTGCATATCCTTGGCAAACTTGTCAAAAATCAGGTGACTCCATGTATTTGGATTGATTTCTGGAATCTATATTCTAACCATTGCACAGGATGTGTGTGTGTGTGTGTGTGTGTGTGTGTGTGTGTGTGTGCATGTGTGTCTATAGCCATTACCATGCTGCTTTAATTACTATAAAATTGTAATGTCTGCTGGAACTCTGGTAGTGTGATATCTCCAGTTTTGTTCTCTATGTTTGCGACTGCCTTGGTGACTTGGGACTTTTTTGTGGTTTCATATGATTTTGAGGATTATTTTATATTTTCTTGAAGACTGACACTGAAATTCAGGTAAGAATTTCACCTAAGTAGCAGATGCTTAAGGGCAGTATGGACATTTTAACAATGTTAATTCTTCCTATCCATGGACACAGAATATTTTCCCACTATTTGTATGTTTTTCAGCTGCTTCCATCAACATTTTATGAGTTTTAATGCACAGATATTACACCACCTGGATTAAATTTATTCCTAGATAATTAATTTTTTCTTTTTGTAGCTAGTATAAATGACATTATTCTCTTGAGTTCCTTTTCATTTCTAGTATATAAAAATGTTACTGAATTTTTGCATGTTCATTTTATGTCCTGCTATTTTGCTGTATTCATTTATTAAAAGTGATTTTGGTGAAGTTTGTGGGGATTTGTAGCTGTAATATGTCATCAGCAAACCTTAAAAACCCCACATCTCCATATCCTGTTTGGACAACTTTTATTTCTTTCTCTTTCCTAATTGCTTTTGCAAGGACTTCCAACACAGAGGTGGTAAGAACAAGCACCCTGTCTTGTTCCAGATTTAACAGGAAATGCTTTCAAGTTTTCACATTTTAGGATAATATGAGCAGTGCAGTTCTCATATATGGCCTTTGTTGAGTTACTTTTTTTAAATCTCTAATTTGGTGACTTTTTTTATAATGAAAGGTGTAAGTTTTTTTAGATTTCTTTTTCTGTGTCTGATGGGATGATCATGTTTTTGTCTTTCAGTTTGTGGCAAGATGTGTCACACTTTTTGTACACAGGGATAAACATATTGTGGTGGATTATCCTTTTATTGTCTTATCAAATTCAATTTGGTAGAATTCTTTGGAAGATTTTTATATTTATGTTTATGAAGGTCTGTAATTTTCTTTTTGTATACTTGCCTTATTTTAGTATTAGTGGAACATTAACCTCATAAAAATAATTTTTAAATATTCTTCTTGGCTTTTTTCGTTTTTTTTTTTTTTTTTTTTTTTTTTT